TATATTCCGGATATTCGTTAGAATCTTGTCTCAAGGTCTCTTCTCAGTAAACATGTTTTTCGCATGGTTTTTTGAGTCCGACAAGGTTATTCTGACGAAACACAAGTGTGAAACTTGTGTTGAAGCGAAGTGGACAAGATCCCGTATGAGTTATGGAAAGGCGTTAAGCCTTCTTATAAATTCTTACGAATGTGGGGGTGTCTTGTAATAGTGGCGATTCCTACACCCTAACGGGTTAGGATAGGCCCGAAATCCGTGGATTGTATATTCATTGGTTATGCACATAATAGTAGTGCATATCGATTTCTTGTACATAAGTCTGAAACTTCAGACATTCACAAGAATACCATCATGGAGTCAAGGAATGCATGTTTCTTTGAAGACATTGCCGAACCTAAGAAGGGGTTCTGAGGTTTTGGAGCAATTTGGTGAGCTTGCTAGTGATGATGATCATTTTGATGATCAAGTTGAGAATCAAGGTGATGATCAGCCTAGAAGGAGTAAAAGGGCTAGGATGTCTAAGTCTTTTGATCCAGACTTCTTGACTTTTATGGTTGAGAACGAACCTCAAACTTTTCACGAAGCTGTGACTTCTCCTGAGAGTTCTTGATGGAAAGAAGTGATCAAAAGTAAGATTAACTCCATCTTACAGAACCACACATGGGAGTTGGTAGATTTACCTCCAGGTTGTAAGCCTTTAGGCTGCAAATGGATTTTTAAAAAGAAAGATGAAGGCCGATAGGTCTATTGACAAGTATAAGGCGAGGCTTGTTATCATAGGGTACAGGCAACGAGAAGGCCTGGATTACTTTGATACGTACTCACCTGTAACTAGGATAGCATCCATTCGCATGGTGATTGCGATAGCAGCTTTGCGCAATCTGGAGATACACCACATGGATGTAAAGACAGCTTTCTTAAATAGGAATTTGAATGAAGAACTCTTCATGGAGCAACCTGAAGGGTTTTCAACTCCAGGGCAAAGCAAGAAAGTCTGTAAACTTGTCAAATCTTTGTATGGTTTGAACCAAGCGCCTAAACAATGGCATGAGAAGTTTGACAATGTAATGTTGTCAAATGGGTTTAGAATCAACGAATGTGACAAGTGTATTTACGTCAAAGACACTGACAGAGGTTATGTCATTTTGTGTCTTTATGTTGATGATATGCTCATTATAGGTAGTAACGATGAAATGATCAAAACAACCAAAAAGTTATTAAACTCTAAGTTTGACATGAAGGATATGGGCATTGCAGATGTTATTCTGGGAATTAAGATTACCAGAATCTCTGGCGGAATTGTACTTTCTCAGTCTCATTATGTTGATAAGATACTTGAGAAGTTTAGTGGATCAGATACGAGTGTGTCATCGACACCTGTAGACTTATGTCTACATTTTACCTAGAATAATAATGAAAGTGTCTCACAGTTAGAATATTCTCGGGTAATTTGAAGTTTAATGTATCTGATGAGTTGTACTAGGCCGGATATAGCTTACTCGGTTAGCAGGCTTACTAGATACACAAGTAATCCCGATGATTCTCATTGGAAGGGCATTGTGCGGGTGTTAAGGTATTTACGCTACACTCGAGATTATGGGCTGCATTATACTCGATATCTAGCGGTGCTTGAAGAATATAGTGACGCGAATTGGATATCAGATATTAAGGACTCAAAGTCCACTAGTGGATATGTGTTCACTCTTGGTGGGACAGTCGTGTCTTGGAAATCTTCCAAGCAAACATGTTTATCTAGATCAATGATGGAATCAGAGTTTATTGCTTTGGATAAAGCAACGGAAGAAGCAGAATGGCTTCGCCATTTCATTGAAGATATTCTACGTTGGTCTAAACCTGTGCCAACTATTTGTATTCATTGTGATTGTCAATCTGCAATTGGTAGGGCACAGAGTAATATATATAACGGAAAGTCTAGACATATCCGTCGTAAACATAATTCCATACGACAACTACTCTCGAATGGAGTTGTCTCGTTAGACTATGTAAAGTCTAAGGACAACATTGCAGATCTGCTAACCAAAGAGTTAAGTCGAGTGTTAGTCGAAACGTCGTCAAAAGGAATGAGGTT